TATACAAACAGTTATATATGTCAATTACAATACAACGCCTTTCACGACCTCAACAAATTCCATGTCATTGAGGAGTAGCAAGGGAAATGGGGAAACTCGGTTATGACATTTCAGTGCACACGTCAGAAACAAAGACAAAAGGAGAAGCTTGACAAGTTGGGCAATTTATTATGGCATCACAAATATTTGACCAATAGCCAAATGACAACAACCAAAAACACTATACCAACAACTGATAAAAGCATGTACAGGCAGGAACAACCACCCCTGGTTCGCTTGTTTAAAATTGCTAAGTTCTTCTGCACCCGCTGTTTTCACAACACAAATGTTCAAGTTAAGCTGTAACTAAATGTAAAAATTAGCATAATTTAACTTCGATATGATTAAACGAGGGATTTTCTCCCAACAGAATTACTAAAAGAGTGTTACCCTAAGCCTCGAATCTGTGACATCTACATGCTGATCCAAGTCATCCTGGCAGATGAAAAAGAAAGGATTTCATTTTAGAAGAGATTATTGCCATAAAAACACGAATGAAAATTAACGCACGAAGACAACGTACAATGAGTCTAGTGTGTAGACTCAGCTCTTCATTCACTGCCAAAGCAATATGTTTTGTGCTTGCTATAGTCTCTTCCAATTGCTCAAGGCCCTCATCTTGTTCTGCTTGAACAGCAAAGCATTATTAGATCCAAAGAACATACTACAAGCGATATATTTTCTAACAATCTCATCAAATAACCTTTCATTATTTGCCGTTGAAATCCAACAAGTCCGTTGTTGTCCAGGCCAACAGTTCTGGCCATAGCATCTGGTTTTCCTTCTGGTCCAAGCAAACTATCTCTATTTGAAAAGTTTGACATGTTCAATGTGGAAGCCATTTGATTAACTTTTGATCTCAAACTTGCGAGCATGTCCTTCCGACGATTCACCTCCTTCTCAGATCTGCATCAAGTAAGTGAAATACACTTCACAAAACAGTAATGCAAACTTCATCATGCACCTTCACAGCGTAATTGAAAGCATTGCCTCTTCTCTACTACAACTATTTGGCTTAATAGCATACATGTCTTGGTAGACTGGTTCTCCCAACAATGAATTTAGTAATTATATTACAATGTTAAAGACATCCCCAGAAGAGATTATTAATATCAGGAAACTTCAAAATAATTATTCACGGATAGAAAAGTATTAGAAGATGCAATGCATAGTGTTCCAAGATCTTCTTTAACATGAATAATCAACAATTACACTCACATGGGCGGCTGCTTTCCAGGAAGCTTGGACAATAGAGATTGCAAGCTATCAAGCCGGGTACCCAATATAGTAATCTTCCTCCTTATAGCAGATGAATGACGCTGGATTTCTGGTCCAGATGCAGGAAGTGAACTCTGCTCAGAAATCATACCACTGATATCGTCAGCAAGTTTCAGTGCTTCATTATATTCCTTCATCCATGAGTTTGAAGAAGATGCCATTGGCCTGAAAAAAGAAAGAAAGAAAGAAAGAAAAGAGTGAAAAAAAACAAAACCAATAATTGAATTTTTACAGAAGAAATGAAAAAATAAAATCAACTAACAGGTTTGAAAAACATGGATGCCTTTTTTAGATGCTTTGGTGTTATATTCCAATCACAATTGAAGCTTTATCTTACAAATCATAGTGCACATGTTACCGAGGTGAAACTCTAATTTTAATCGGAGAACAACACCGAACTCATCAAAGGAATTATATCTAAGTTTTAACCATAACAAATTTCCCATAGTAAATAAACCACAAAGGCCTAGGAAAATTCAAAATCGCATAGGACATGACAGAAGGAAAGTATTCCAGGTCCGATCATCATCACAAGAAAACTTCTATTATTTGCTTAGTACCCATGCAAAATTTACCAGTACACCTGTTCAAATTAAACAACTCATCCCGACAAAACTTTCCTCCATTTAAACCAGATTGCTGTTACATTGAAAAAGAAAAAGGAATCGCGGGTAATTACTAATTTACTACATCAATTGAAGTATGAAAGAACAGCGCGAAGAGCCCTTAAAAGTTCACGATCGCATAGGCAATAAATCATGGAGTCATAAATTCCAACCCATCACGGGGAGCCATAAACTCTATAATCTTTAACAACAACTTCACCATATATTAGACCCAGAAACAGAAAATTAACAACAAAAATCATGCACCATTAATCAAATGCAAAAATATGTACAAACATGAGGTCATAAGAGCTAATTTCACAATCAGACTAAAAACACAATTCTCATCAGATAAGCATAGAGAGGAACAGTCAAAGTACGGTTCAGAAGGAGAATTGCGTCGATAACGGAAAGAAGTTGGAGTTAAAGTAAAGAGGGGAAACAATCGGGGGAAATTACCTTCCTTTTTGGCAAATTAGGACTGTGAGAGAGAGGGAGAGGAGGAAAGGGGAGATCGGTGCGACGTCGTTTTAGGAAGGTGACGATGGCGATGAGTACAATGAGGCGTATGGCGCCACCTACCAACCGGCACCGTCGTTTACCTCGCGGATTATGGAAGCTGAATGTTTCTAATAATTCATCATCACCACGACGTCGTTTTGGGATCACTTTCACGAGCATTTTCTATTGCTTTCCACCTCAGAACAAAACAATAATCCTAATTACTTTTATATAGTTAAGTATGTGAACAAATATTTATGAATAAAAACTGTATTATGAAAATAATTTCAGAGGGTTTTTCCCTCTTTTTTTTGTAATCAATAATAATAGACTAATGATACTGAAATTTAAATTTGGATGATGTTATCATCACACTCGTTATTTTATATTTGAATAGTCTTGTGTAAAGGTGAATTTTGAATGAGTTTTTGTATAATTTACTTTTTATTTTTAATTTCTCTAAAACTTTTTTTTTAATATTTTAGTATCTAATATTATGTTAAATTGAAGGTGAAGTAAACATTTTGAACAGGGATTAAATGTATATCTACTACTATATGATATGTCGTGTGGCATATAAAAAGAAAAAGTTAAACCTAAAAAATTAAATTTATTGATTTATATTTAATTTTGTATGAGTTGAGGTGAATTTTTTTTTTTAAATTTCAATTTTTTTAAATAAAATCACGACAAAAATTTAAAGTTTCAAAACTAACTATATTTTGAGGTTCAGACATTTATGTCGTGATGTGAAGACAACAGTTTCTTTATCTATGGACTGAAAATTTATTTGGGTAACCAATAATTTTATTTTCATTTTTTTTAATGTTATATGTATTTTAAGAATAAAATTGTAATAGAAGTTTTAAGTTTTAAAAAAATGATATCTCAAAATTGACTTAAAATGTATATCGTAAAAAAATTGTAATATTTTTTAAAATAATTATCCTATATTTCTAGAATTATAGTGATGTTAACTTCAGTTCTGAACAATTTTTGTCCTGTATGAGAATGAAAACTCTCATAATTATCAATCAAATAATTCTTTTTAATAATACTACTTCAATCTTTTAATTTTTTATGTCCTTTAAAAATAAAACCGAAGTTTTTAATTTTAAGAGAATAATATTTCCCAATTGATTTAAAATAAATATCATAAAAAATTATAATTTTTTCTAAAATAATTATTTTCCTCCATAATTAACTTATATTCCTAATAATTATATATTTCTCTCCATTTGCACTTTTTCTACAACCTTCTTAGATTGAGATTTTCCTTTGATCAATCAATGATTTCAGTTCAATCTTTTTTTCTTTTATGAATGCTTTAATTCTTTTTGTCTGATTCTTGTTGAATCTATCGCTGTGAATTTTTTCACCACATATTTGAACTTTTTTGATAATTTGGAAAAGATTGAAAAGTAAAACTTACATTAACACTAACATAAGAGTCATGACTACATTAATATGAAACTAAGATTTAAATCACAAAAATAATTTTGGATTTTATGCGGAGCAATTACATATGATTATCACAAAATTAAAGGGAATTAAAAAACAATTATATATGATTACCTCAAATGTAGAGTAATTATATAAGATTTATAATTTTTTTGTTAGCAATTATTGTATCATTATTTGATGGTGTTGTCATTTTCTCTATACTAATGTTTATACACTGAGAGGGCCATGTCAACAGACAATATCCTTCTGTGTATTCTATAATTTAATTCCATGATTGACCTTTTTTTTTCATTTTAATTTATTGATAACTTTTCCTTTATTATTTTAGTCTTACACGTCATAAGAAATTCAAATTTTATAGACTCGATTTCAAGAGTGCATTTATTTATAGACAATTTTATTATTTTTTATATTATTATTATTATTACTATTTATAGATTTGAGAATTAAGTATTATCTGCTATTTTTTTTTACTCAGTCAAGCTTCCCAACTCTTTTTGTCATAAGGCATATGAATAAGCATTGTACATTCCTAACACTTATCTCTATTATAGTTTTTCTAAATTCATAAAATCTACACTGAGCACTGAAATTAATAATTATCATTATAGTTTTTTTAATAAAAATGTACAATATACTTTATCTTTTCTTTAAATATATATTTTTATTATTTATGGATTGCTATTAGTGTAATTAATGTTTCAAAATGCATAATTGTAAACATTTATATGTTTATTTAGATCATAGCATTTCTTTTACATATCAAAGTTCAACTTTTTAGTTGTATATATTTGTGTGTAGAAAGCAAATTAATGTTGAAAGAGAGGTTAATTTTTCTAACAAAATTTTCACTTCAAAATAAATGTTTTTTTTATGGTAAAGTATTTTTACTATAAATGGAATTTTGATCAATAAGTTTAAAACCTTAATACATGTAGTAACCTTAATAATTATTTTCTTATTTTCTATTTTAAAAATATATTATAAAATTCTTTTGTTTTTGTTGAAACACAAAAACACTGTCATCAATACGGATTAATGTGATTAGAGTTACAATTTAGAGTGTAAGTGTTGGATGAACTAATATTTATGGGGAGAGTAGAGAAAGAAATTAGGGTTTTAATATCAAGCTGTGTGTGTGACTGCCTCAAAAATATTGATTGGTTCTTACACAAATTAGGGTTTCAGTTTCAAGTCTAAGAAAAAATGTCTGTCAAGAGAGATAAGTAAGAAATTGGATATGATTATTGTAGATTAGTGCTGGTTTTGGAGTGAGATACCTTGTGATTTAATAAAAATAGAATAGAGAAAAAAGATCTGGTCCAAAATTGAGCATAAAAAAATGAAAAGCAAAAGATTTGGGACTTGGGAGTGAATGAAGAATTTGGAAAATAAAGAGGGTGATTGCAAAAAGCAGAAAGTTTGAAGCACAAGAGCAGAGAGGGGAAGAAGGGGTTGCAGAGAGAGAGAGGGAGAGAGATGTCAACAGACTTGGACAGACAGATAGAGCAGTTGAAGAGGTGTGAGCCTCTGAAGGAGTCTGAAGTGAAGGCTCTCTGCCTCAAAGCCATGGAAATCCTCGTCGAAGAGAGCAACGTTCAAAGGGTCGATGCTCCTGTCACCGTTAGTCACTCTACTCGTCTTTTTCTTTTCCTTCAATATTCTCCTGTTCTGCATTTCTCTTAGGTTTCTGTCTTCTGGGTTTCCTTTCGTTATCGATTTACGAGCTGTTTTCGTGTGATTTTAGCTCACACTCAACAGAATTACCTCATGTTTTTTCGTCGGGTTTTAGTTTAAGAAGATTAGTTAGTTGATAACTACTTTTCTTTGGTCTTCGACCTATCTAGGGCTTGTTATAAATGTCATGTATGAAATGATGAAATAAGGCTTACGTGTCGCTCTTTCCGGGGATTTAGTGGATTTCCTCTCTCTTTGTTTTGACCTGTTCGCACAATTCATTGCTTTGTGCTTTGTTTTTGCGTTCAGTGTGTCATGGGGAGCACACTGTCTCTTTGTTTTGTCCTGTTCACTTTTTTCACTGATTGGTTTTGTTGATTGTGTCATTCTTTGTGCAGATATGTGGTGATATTCACGGTCAGTTTTATGACATGAAGGAGCTTTTCAAAGTGGGAGGGGATTGCCCCAAGACTAACTATTTGTTCCTTGGGGATTTTGTTGACAGAGGATTTTACTCGGTTGAAACATTTCTGCTTCTTCTCGCTCTTAAGGTAATAGTCTGTTATTTTTTTTGGCATGATAAAGCTATTGGAAGTGTGTTGTATGGTTTATGTGTGTATTCTATGGTTTCAGTGTGCGTTAGATCTGCTATGGGCCACCTTGCAACAATTTAAAAAATGTTTCAGTTCGTCTGCTCAATGATTATCTCAGAAATATAGATGGTCTTGTGGCTTCCAAGCCGCTGGTTTTGTTGAACAGTGCTTATATTTTGTTTGAGTGAACTATATAAAAGCCTTTTCTGTTTTGGGAACACAATGTGCTATTGTTCGAGAATGAAACTGTACAAGTTTTTGGGTGGGGTAGGGGGATGATGTGATTAGTGAAATGCAAAAATCTACCTGAGGATGCTTTATTATTAGCGATTTGCTATTAATCTGGTCTGTGATTAAGATTTTGTCAGTAAAAAGTAAAACAAAAGGCTCTTCATGTCTGCTCGTTTGGTTGTTGTTTGGTGCACTTGGATGGAATGAAATAGAAGAGTTTTTACTTAGCAATAGCAGTTTCTTCTTTTTACTTTTCTTGTCAAGACAGAAATTTATTTGCATCGTCATTGTAGGTTCTTGCTCAAGGGATTACTGTCTATAATACAAAGAGTCTAGTGTTGCTTTTAAGCTTGTGCTCTTTTCATATGCCATTGTCATTATTTCCAGTTTGTTTGTCTCTTGATGAATTGTTTTTTTTATCATTTTTTAAAAATACCTAAAGAGAAACAAAAATATATAAAGTTTTTTTTTTTTTTAATTTTTTGACAACTGGGTTTGTCAGTTGTGTTGAACTACTCATTCTGTTGTGCTCCTAATGACACTACTTTCATTTTGTTCATTATTGTTGTAACTAATTATTGATATACAATCAGGTGAGGTATCCAGATCGGATAACACTCATAAGGGGAAACCATGAAAGCCGTCAGATCACTCAGGTTTGTCTATCAGATAAAGTGGAGGAAAGAAATAAATCCCTTTTTATAAGCATTACGAAGAAAACTAGGAAAAGACATTAATATTTTTCTTAACATTTTGTTTCCGGAGAACTCATTCAACATCTTTCACTTGACAGGTATATGGATTCTATGATGAGTGCCTTCGAAAGTATGGTTCAGTCAATGTATGGAGATATTGTACTGATATATTCGACTACTTAAGGTTTGCTAACATCTAATATATAACCAGATTTTATACACAAGTTTCTGTGGATGACTTAAAGCAGATTGACATCATGATATAAAGATTTTTTATTTGAGTCTTGCATTGGGAGCTACTTCTAGTGAGAGTAACAATGCTAGATTTGCTATAAAATTCTTGAAATGGTTTCAATGCCATGGGCTTGCTAATTGCTCTCTTGTTACTTTTAGTCTTTGTTTCTTTTATGGGTACAGGGACTGCCTGTTTTGTTTTATTTGAAAAATGTTTTTTCTGAAAAGGAAAATTCTGTATGATGGTCTTTATGCAAAATTGAAGTTATTTTCTGGGCAACTTCTTTTGGACTATTTTTCTTTATTATTCGTGCAACTGTTCAATTCATGTTTGAAAGTACTTGCAATACATTTTAAGAAGGAAAGGGATTTTAGTTTGCGTGAGCTGGGTTAAGACAAGAAGGAAGCTTTGTGTGGCCTCTCTTTGTGTATTTTAAAAGGAGAAAAGTTTGAGCAGGTGATCTTAAAATCTATCGATTGATTATTCTGACAGACTTGTCTAGATATTTAGATAAAAAATGCTAGCAATTCTTCAGTACACCTTTTTCATCACCTCTTTTTATCATTAGGTAAATTGCATATATTGTATAATGGTATTCAATTCAATCACAGAGAGAGCAGTGTTGTTAAACCAATAATTTTACTTGTAGAATCATATAATCGAGTTTTATGGCTATTATGTGTTTGATCAGATGTAGACTTGGATAGTGGGATTATGCTGCCAGCTCAAAGATTGGGGAATTATCTATCCCTTGAGTTGCAGATCTGAGAAGTTGTGGGTTAGATTTTATGACCCGGTGGAAAAAATTTATAATGTTTCCCTAGTTTGTCCTCCACTTCTTTATGTTACACTCCAACTAAATTCTCTTCCTTTTGGAACTTGTCTCTGCCATTTATTCTCTATTTCAAGTTTATTTTGTCTTGGGTAATTGGTTTAGCTGAAATTTGAGAAATTTCCTGTTTTCTCTGTATTTGACCTTGCTAGCCAGCTTTTCTTAGTTCTCCTTTTGTTCTGTTTGTCCTCCTATCTTGTTTGAACCCATTTGGACTTGGGTTGGACTCTCTCTCTTTAGTAGTGTCTAGGAATTTAGTGTTGAGTGTTTCTTTGGAGTGTTTCTCCTCTCTCTCTCCTTACTTTCTTGGCTTAGAAAACCCGTGAACTGGACTTGATTTGGGCTTTCATTTATAATACAATAACTGCAAAATAAAGGATCTGAACTCTTACCTGAATCTTGTGGTAATTACACACGTTAATTAATTACATTTTCAACCTTTATGAGAAAATATGCTTTTATATTTTTTATATGATCTTAGTACGATCACATAGTTAAATGATCTTTCATCCCTCGTCCCTAGATATAATTTCGATTTTAACAACCTTTCTGATTTCAGAGTGTTCAAAAAGTGTCAAATTGCAAGTGTTCGTAGTGCACAGAAATAAAAAAATAGATATAAATGAAAATATTAGTGTCAAGTTGCATATAAAACAACCCAACTGCATTTACAGATTTAGTTGGTGTAGCTTGTGCCTTCCCTAATGATTTTGTATGTTGACAACAATAAACTGCAGTTTGTCGGCCTTAATTGAAAACAAGATTTTCAGTGTTCATGGGGGCCTTTTCCTGCAATTTCTACATTGTATCAGGCTATAAATTTTACCGTCTCTGTTTAGATTGTATACTGGCAATATTTTATGCATTATTTATCTCACTTATATATAGATACGGACTATTGATCGGAAGCAAGAGGTACCTCATGATGGTGCCATGTGTGACCTACTATGGTCAGATCCAGAAGATATTGTGGATGGATGGGGTCTCAGTCCCCGTGGTGCTGGTTTCTTATTTGGTGGCAGTGTTGTTACTTCCTTTAACCACTCAAACAACATTGATTATATATGCCGTGCTCATCAGTTGGTGATGGAAGGATATAAATGGATGTTCAATAATCAGATAGTTACCGTCTGGTCAGCTCCAAATTATTGCTATAGGTACAAACTTGATTAAAATGTTTTTTTTCTTATTTGTGTTCTGATGTTTTTAGTAAGACATTTTTCTTCTTTGTTATAGATGTGGTAATGTAGCTGCAATTCTTGAGTTGGATGGAAATCTGAATAAGCAGTTCCGGGTGTTTGAAGCTGCTCCACAGGTTTGTAGGCAAAAAAATTACCTGATATTTATCGTGATCGTGAGTTCCCTGTTTAGAGTGAGTTATTATACCGATTTTTCTGAAGTAGTAACAATATCAGTCTCTCTATTGTCAAATTCATTTGTGGTTAGGAACGTGCTTTTCATGGCATTGGGTTCAGGACTATGAGAATGACTGTTTTTATCCTACTCTGTTTTTGCGTATTCGTTTTGATTACACTATCTTTGCATGTTTAAGCAAACAATTCCCTGTTCTTTGCTAACTTATGAAGATAGTGTGGGATATTGTGTCGACATGAAAATGTAATTGTGCTAATATTTTCTAAATTGATTTTTAAATTTTGATGAAATGTAGGAATCAAGAGGGACACCTGCAAAGAAACCAGCACCAGATTACTTCCTATGAAGGTTATTTTTTTTTTTTTCCATTATCGAAATGCTCATATTGGTGTTGGGAGACTTGAATCAAGGAGATCATTTCTGACTCGGGAGGAATCAATGAAGGGAAAATCGGTTGTGCTGGCAGGAATTCTGCATCCCATTGGTCTGCTTCGCCCATCTTTAGTGTTATAGCAGTATTGTGAATTAGTATGTGATTTGCAATATGTTATTACTGCCTTTGTTCATTCAAAACTGTGATGGACAGAGGGTTTAGAGGGAAATGATGTTTTGCATATATGAAAACTTGATTACAAAGGATTCAATCGGATTGGAACAGGGAATATTGGGAATTAACTTTCCAAATATATAATCCGTGGAAAAAAAACCCCACTAGTTGATTTTTGATTATCATGGTTGCCAATGTTACACCTGGAGGTTGGTACTAAAATCTTCCCTTGCTTGAATTTGACATTGAAGGTTCACTTGCTACTGAAAAGGATCCTTTTTCTAGTGAAATTCTGTGTAAAATTTATTATTGGTATTCTTATTTTATGATTGGGAGTTCCAGAGCTGAGACAAAGGATGAGTAATAGGCTAAAGGTGGTATTTTCAGATTATAAACGAAATTACCACTTGGGAAATTTTAAACTCCGATTATTGTAAGATGAAAAAAGTTCTTAATCTGAAAATTTCTGCGTCAAAAATACTTCCTTGGAAAAGAAAAAGTAAACTTTTATTTCCCTCTGCTTTTTATACAACTGAGCAAGAAAAAAAGGTTAACTTCTGTTTTTCATTCTTTTCTCGTATTAAACATTCTAATTCCTGCTATATATGGATAGATTTATTTTCAAGCATGCTTGAAAATAAAATAAAAAATTTATTTTAAGAAAAACCATGGTCCTCTATATGGTATTTTCAAATACAATTGCCGAACATGTAAAAGCAAATATTAACCAATGTTTTAGAAGTATTGCTTAAGATAATAAAAAAAATTCTTAACAAAATTCAAGAAAACTTTCTTTTCATAATTTTTATACATGATTGTCACTAAATATTATTTTCTTTTTAACCGTGTCAGTTTATCGAACAGAAAAATAAAGGAAAAGGTTAAATGCATTTTCAGAATTCTAAAATCAGAATATAAGTCGCGTGGGTCACGAGTTCACGTTTTATTATGTTAAACAATTGATTGATAGACACTCCAAATCCTATCAGACACATGAATATAGAGATCAAAGGAAAAAAATGGTTTAGAATATAAAGTAAAAAGTAAGATATTTTTTCTTTCTTGGTACTAATGAAGCGATCGAGAAAGTAATATCTAAGAAATTATTGCTCTTATGTTAATCTACGATGATTGTTGTGCCAGCTCCATGTCAACTTAATAACAACAATAATAATTAATCAATCTGAGCTAAACTCCGAAACAACAACTTCTGATACATCTCCCTTCACAGTTGCTGTTCCTGGTCGTTGATTTCACCAACTCGGCTCCTATCCAATACAATATTGTAGTTCATTATTATCCGAAAGATTAATTAGTAAGAAAAGCTATGACGTTTTTCCTTAGTTTTTCATCAAATGGGTATGTTTCAAGATTTCATTTTTCACTGGATAAACATGAAAAATTAACCTTGATCTTGTCAAAACTTGTTTTCTGAAGTCAAGGTTAAACAACTTGGGTTGCATAATGATATTGGCTTGATCGATCCCTCAGAAGGCTCCACCTGCAAAATTGGAATGACATCCTCAACCTGTTTCCTTCTTTTATTCCTTCTGCTCCTTTCATCCTCCACAAGTGGTGTTCAACATCATGAAGAGGGTTTCATCTCTATCACCATATCTGATAAGGGTCTCGATTTTGCCAAGGATATTCTGATAGACCAAGCTGTTGACTCTATTACTCTGTCTCAATTGCCAGATATTGAGGAGACTGTTCAAGTCCCTCTTGTTGGAAAAGCCAGAGTTGTTCTTTCTGAAATCACTATCAATGATATCCAAGTAAATTCTTCATCTGTTAATACAGGAGAAACAGGCATTGCTGTTGTTGTTTCAGGTGCCACAGCTAACTTGAGTTTGAAGTGGAGGTACTCTGCCAGCAGTTGGTTAGTCCCAATTGGAATTTCTGATAGTGGAACTGCAACTGCAAAGGTCTGAATCCAGATTCCAGAATATTATTCACTCTTTATCTTGGAGTACTTTGTATACACACTGGCCGAGTAAAGTGTTACCGAATTACAAATTGTTAGGGTTGACTTCTAGCCATTTTAAAATTTATATTAACCATGGTTTCTAATTGGTTGACTGTGTAAAATTAAACTCTTTTCCTTTTTTTCTGGAGTTGCACCAATTTGTTTCACGGCTTATAATTTGCTTTATAGCATTGTGCTCTAACTAAGAAAGTTTGATCTTGAACTAACCTGAAGTTGGTTATTCTGATGAGAATCGGTTCGGCTGGCTGTGGTTATGGCTGAAATTTCATTCACAAGACATGTGTTTCAGTGTCTGATAGCCTAAAACCTTTGTCAGTGATGCACTTTTTTCGCAAATAATTTTGTTTGTACTGCTTAATCTGTTATATTCCTCATTCTGTTGTGCTGTGCTATGTTGGAAGGTTAATGATTTGCAAGTTGGACTTACTGTGAATTTAACGAATCAAGAAGGAACTCTTAAGCTGCTTCTCCTGGATTCTGGATGCCATGTTAGAGATTTATCCATAAAGTTACATGGTGGAGCAGCTTGGCTTTACCAAGTGTAAGGAACCTTCTTAAGCAATGATTTTTATTACTACAAACTCTTAAACATGCTCTATTAGAGTTATCTTCCTCCATTGCTGATTTAGGCTTCACAATTCCATAGGGAGGCTTTGGCTAATAACTATATAACCCTTATGCTATATTTCAATCTTTAGGGTGGGACATGAAACCGAAAGTGCAGATAACTGTGTTCCATTATCTTGTGCTGCAAAAACTTTTCTAGAGAATATAAAGCTAATTTTCTGATATCCTCCTGAATTGTTGTCTCTTCTAAAGAACCGAAGCTTGGCTCGTATCTAGACCCTAATATGTATACTATTTGATGATATCATGCCAATAATTTCTATCTTCTTGCAGGCTAGTAGATGCTTTTGCAGGAAGTATAGCATCTGGAGTTGAAGAGGCAGTTTCTGATCAAATAAATGAGGGGATATCAACTCTTGATGTTTTGTTACAATCTCTTCCAAAGACTTACCCAATAGACGAAACAGCTGCTCTAAATGTTTCTTTCGTGAACAATCCTGAGCTAAGTGATTCTGCTATTGAATTAGAAATTAGTGGTTTATTCATAGGAAGGAATGAAATTTTGTCACCTCAAGGTTACCACAGAGGTTCAGACGTTTCTGTTTCCCGTGCCAACCCTTCGCCAAAGATGATAACAATTTCATTACATGAAAATGTTTTCAAATCCGGTTCCTTGGTTTACTTCACTGTAAGTTTCTGAAGTCTTCTACTTCTTTTATTTTTGGCTGTGTCCAATAAATGGATATTATAAACTGACATATAGTTTTGATGGTTTATGTTGTTCTTGTGCTCACTCAGGCAGATACTTTGAAATGGACTGTTGATGAACTGCCTGATCAGAACCTTCTGAACACTGCTGAATGGAGATTCATTATTCCTCAGTTATACAAGCAATATCCAAACGATGACATGAATCTTGATGTCTTTGTGTCTTCTCCACCGGATATACAAGTGACAAACAAAGATGTTGTTGTCCAAATTTCCATAGATATAATACTTAATGTTCTGGAAGCTGGTGAAGTCGTACCTGTTGCATGCATCTCGGTGGTAAGCTTAATGAAAACCAATACTAAGTGCAGAGTTTAAACTTTTATGATTGTTACACTGTTTAAGCAGGCATCCCTCATAAATAATATACTGCTTCTACATTGTATTATCTAACATTGTCCCTTAACCTTGGTTATTGGTACAGGATTTTAGTGCATCTTGTGCTGCGGAGATCATAGGAAACAATCTTGCTGGTTGGCTTAAATTGAAAAAGTTTTCGACATACTTGAAATGGAGTAAAATAGGGAAACTGCACGTGAATCTGNAGAATATTATTCACTCTTTATCTTGGAGTACTTTGTATACACACTGGCCGAGTAAAGTGTTACCGAATTACAAATTGTTAGGGTTGACTTCTAGCCATTTTAAAATTTATATTAACCATGGTTTCTAATTGGTTGACTGTGTAAAATTAAACTCTTTTCCTTTTTTTCTGGAGTTGCACCAATTTGTTTCACGGCTTATAATTTGCTTTATAGCATTGTGCTCTAACTAAGAAAGTTTGATCTTGAACTAACCTGAAGTTGGTTATTCTGATGAGAATCGGTTCGGCTGGCTGTGGTTATGGCTGAAATTTCATTCACAAGACATGTGTTTCAGTGTCTGATAGCCTAAAACCTTTGTCAGTGATGCACTTTTTTCGCAAATAATTTTGTTTGTACTGCTTAATCTGTTATATTCCTCATTCTGTTGTGCTGTGCTATGTTGGAAGGTTAATGATTTGCAAGTTGGACTTACTGTGAATTTAACGAATCAAGAAGGAACTCTTAAGCTGCTTCTCCTGGATTCTGGATGCCATGTTAGAGATTTATCCATAAAGTTACATGGTGGAGCAGCTTGGCTTTACCAAGTGTAAGGAACCTTCTTAAGCAATGATTTTTATTACTACAAACTCTTAAACATGCTCTATTAGAGTTATCTTCCTCCATTGCTGATTTAGGCTTCACAATTCCATAGGGAGGCTTTGGCTAATAACTATATAACCCTTATGCTATATTTCAATCTTTAGGGTGGGACATGAAACCGAAAGTGCAGATAACTGTGTTCCATTATCTTGTGCTGCAAAAACTTTTCTAGAGAATATAAAGCTAATTTTCTGATATCCTCCTGAATTGTTGTCTCTTCTAAAGAACCGAAGCTTGGCTCGTATCTAGACCCTAATATGTATACTATTTGATGATATCATGCCAATAATTTCTATCTTCTTGCAGGCTAGTAGATGCTTTTGCAGGAAGTATAGCATCTGGAGTTGAAGAGGCAGTTTCTGATCAAATAAATGAGGGGATATCAACTCTTGATGTTTTGTTACAATCTCTTCCAAAGACTTACCCAATAGACGAAACAGCTGCTCTAAATGTTTCTTTCGTGAACAATCCTGAGCTAAGTGATTCTGCTATTGAATTAGAAATTAGTGGTTTATTCATAGGAAGGAATGAAATTTTGTCACCTCAAGGTTACCACAGAGGTTCAGACGTTTCTGTTTCCCGTGCCAACCCTTCGCCAAAGATGATAACAATTTCATTACATGAAAATGTTTTCAAATCCGGTTCCTTGGTTTACTTCACTGTAAGTTTCTGAAGTCTTCTACTTCTTTTATTTTTGGCTGTGTCCAATAAATGGATATTATAAACTGACATATAGTTTTGATGGTTTATGTTGTTCTTGTGCTCACTCAGGCAGATACTTTGAAATGGACTGTTGATGAACTGCCTGATCAGAACCTTCTGAACACTGCTGAATGGAGATTCATTATTCCTCAGTTATACAAGCAATATCCAAACGATGACATGAATCTTGATGTCTTTGTGTCTTCTCCACCGGATATACAAGTGACAAACAAAGATGTTGTTGTCCAAATTTCCATAGATATAATACTTAATGTTCTGGAAGCTGGTGAAGTCGTACCTGTTGCATGCATCTCGGTGGTAAGCTTAATGAAAACCAATACTAAGTGCAGAGTTTAAACTTTTATGATTGTTACACTGTTTAAGCAGGCATCCCTCATAAATAATATACTGCTTCTACATTGTATTATCTAACATTGTCCCTTAACCTTGGTTATTGGTACAGGATTTTAGTGCATCTTGTGCTGCGGAGATCATAGGAAACAATCTTGCTGGTTGGCTTAAATTGAAAAAGTTTTCGACATACTTGAAATGGAGTAAAATAGGGAAACTGCACGTGAATCTGATTCAGGTAAATTGGAATGTATATATTAATCTTCTCAGCTTGTAGATTTGTACTTTGACGTGAAATTGGATGAAATTGTACAACAAAAAAATGCCTTATCCCACTTATCAGCTACATGGGTTACAAGCTGCCTTTTGACTCTGTTAAAAGATTAAAACATTTAAGATCTTATTAATCTTGAGATCCTTTTAACAATTTTCTCCAATGCCCTTCTTGATCTCCTCTCTTTTTGATAGGTAATAGGTCTAAAAACCTTGCAACCTATACTTGTAGTTAGGCTTCTAGTGGCCCTTTTGCATTTGTTGAAACCACCTCAACTTCTAATCAGATGAAATTTAACTCCAATTTCTATTTTGGCATATATATGATTGTTAAACCTTAGATATTTTATATCAAGGTTATTGTTATGAATCTTACTCTATAACTGTGTAAACATTTGCAGTCAGTGACATCAGCTGTCCTCAAAACCGTTCTCATACCATACCTGAACTCACAGTTAGTGAGGGGAATTCCACTGCCAATTCTTAATGATTTTGCTCTTGAGAATGCTCGTATATTGTATGCTCCCCCATGGATTACTGTGACCAGTGATGTTTCTTTCTTCGGACACTATCATCACAAGCATCTACCAGCTTATGTATCATAAACAAGTTCTCAGATATTTGTCTGCTTGTGTTCCAAGTGGCAATAAGGTAATGAGAAACTGGTCAAGATGGCAGTGAAGAGTGAATCTCATGAACAAACATGCATGCAGGTCCATTACTCATCTTCTGGTATTTTATGTGTTCCATCACTGGTGTAGCTGATTTTACCTTTGTAAATCATTCTGTCCTTACGATCACTTGAAAAAGATTGCTCTGTATGTGTAAACGTGTGAAAATAATGCTAACTTTTTGTTCGTATATTTCATTCACAGATCTTCAGTTCATTCTTGACTGATATTCTTCACCTTTATCAAGAGCAGAATATGTTCATCCTAAACTCACCTATCCATAGTTATTGTCACTAATTTTAACTAGATCTTAGTTTGTCATTTCTAGTTCAAACTAATTAAGTTGCAAGTTGACTCAAACCCCTACCTATTGCTAAGTATCATAGTATACATGGATTATAACGTAACACGTATTGACTTCTACAAAAAGGAACAGATTTTAGAATTTCAGTTCCATGGACCAACCTTATTTACATAACCTTGTGGGATTTTTCAATGATAAAATGGACTACAATAATGATTTGATTAATTTTAATAGATGTATTTGACATAAGAAATTATCTCTGCCAACTTGTTTCTATCACTATTTATTAATTAAATTTTATTTTTTTAAAAGATATTAATAAGGGTATAAAATAATCCTTAATCTCGATTTAAATTATTTTTTATATATCTAAAATAACGTTTTTCTTTTCGAGAAAAGTTTAAATTATTTTTTGAGTCTTTGAGTTTTTCAGTGAATCTTATTTTGATCTTTTTCAAATTAAAAAAAAATCAATTCTTTAAGAAAAACAAATGATTTTGGTCCTTAAGTATTAAATTTGAGGGACTGTCTTTTTAAAATGCTTTTAAAACTCGTTAAGTTTAGTGTTGAGAGGCCCAAATCATATTATTAAATATTTGAAGGACTAAATATTTTTTTGAAGATATTTCAGGAACTAATTTTGTTTAGAAGAAAATATCTATCTATCATAAATTCTAGTTATTACGTAATAATAAACCTTTATCCAATACAATGTAAAATACACATTAAAAAAATGTGGAAGGTAGAAACTCGGTGAGTCGTGTACGAGTTGAGGGGAGGAGATAAAATATAAATAGAAAATTAATATGATTATTATTTGTTTTGTAATTGGCGAAAACCCCTTTGTATTCAGCGTGGGCGTCTATCTCTCTCTTTCTCTCTCTAGGGATCGCTCTGGTGAGCAATTGAACTCAACTCGTTCTCTTTCTCTCAACATAACTCACTACTATTAACCCCATCCCACCCAATACACTTCAATACCTAATTACTCGCACGCGCAACGCAAACCCAAACCCAAACCCAAACCTCGCCTTCATCTCTCTCAACACACTTACCCGCCAAAATTTTAATTAGCCTTAGCCCCCTCCAATTCAAACCTCTCTTCTCTTTTCTTCTATTCTATTCTCTCTCTCTCTCTCTCTCCTCTCCTCTCTCCCCTCTCTCTCTAGGGTTTCCCTCCCATGGAGACGGAGGAGGAGCTCGTTCCCGATCCCAAACCGGAGGAACAGACCTTGCCGCTTCAGAACGGGGACTCTGACCAGCGCTGCGCCAAGAAGCCCAAGGTTGACGAGGACGCCGAATTGAAGAGAGTGGCCGAGATTGTTCTCGTTCTCTCCACCATGGCCTCCGTGCGTGCGGGGAGGAAGCCCTCCGACGCTGAGGTCGAGCTCATGAGAGAGGCGCGCGCTAAGCTCGCCAGCCTCTGCCAGGGTTTGGCTCCCAAGGATATTGTAGCCAGGGAAGCAATTGGAACCGTTATCGAGGATCTCGGATTGCACTCCAAGCTTAAAGACCAGAGGCTAGGGTTTCGAACTCCGAAGATGTCTATTGCCGAAAGGTATTCACATGCTAAGTGGAAGGTAACTACCAACCCTCTCTCTGCTCAATTTACTTCCGTTTCGTTTTAAATTGTTTGTTATTTAGCAAAATTGTGTGTTGAAATTTTGTGTGGCAGAACAACCGATTGAAGTTTAAAAGTCACGTGTGTGTGTCTTGGTTGTTTTGGATAACTATTCTTGCGAAAACTAGTTATGAAAGTAACATTACGTTTATCGTTGTGGTTGTGAATTGTGTCTTGGTTAGGAAAATGAGGATAACAGCGTGTTTGGATATGCATCCTGTCCGTTTAATTTAGAAGCAAAAATGTATAGCTTCTGCTAGCGTGTTTGGAAGCTTGTTGAAAAGGAAGAAAACACGCTTGGGGTGCGAAAGCTATGACTATTAGCTTTTTGATGTCACATTCAAGATATTCAAGATATGGGGAATCAAAACGGTTTTGTTTCAATATTGTTGTGAAAATAAAGCATAACGAACGCATAATGGAACACACTAAGAATTTCATGTTCACAGTCCTGTGAAATTCACCTGATACTTTTTTCAAATTTTGTGTTTCTTAGTGGAGGAATCTTTGGGCAGATTATTGTGTACTAATGCACTTAGGCCTTGCTAGTACTGGGTTATTTTTCAGTTAATTTTCTGTTGCCGAGCCTTTCATTGTGTTTGTTGAAATTTTGGACACTGTATATGACAAGTTTTTTCTTTTTCATGTGCTCACACAAGATATTTTTGACTTATAGTGTGTATGCTAAGAATGGCACTCTGCATTTCTTTTGATTAGATTTTCGCTTGTTTTGTCTTTCTTTTTTTCCATTTTGGTTCCTAGATGGAGGAAGCAAAGAAGTTTTCTGCACCTTCTACAACACATACATCTCAACCCTTACAATCAAACATTGGTGGACCTGTTGACAATCGTGTGCCATCACATGTTCGAATGTTCCCTTCTGATAAACCAAGCCAGCCAGCAATCCCTTCTATGGGTACCGTAGTGTCTATTCCTCCCCATGTTTCTGCAGGATCTTCTGCAGTATTGCAATACCAGTCAACTGGCAATGAAGTAAGACCACCTATGGTTTCTGGTGTGATGCCTAGCGGTCACTTGGGGAGAAATTCATCTTCCTTAGTATTGCCTAAAGCTGAACATCCACAGTTCAAAGTTGATGGAGGATCAAATGGGTCTTCTTCTTATTTGCTACAAGTCCAAGGTATATTCTTCTGAAGCTCCTTACTGGATCCAAATTTCAAGGACTGGTTGAGTTACATTTACGATTGATGAATGACAGACATTGCAATATGTTTTCATTCTATAATAGATGCAATATATTGGACATTTAGATTTTTTACTGGGAAGCAATAAAATACATAACGTTAACTGAACGTGCTGAAGAAAATACTGTAGTTTTATGGTTATATATTTACTGGAGTTTGTCCTTTTTAAATCACGGAGTGAGCATGGCGAAGCCTGAAAGTTGACTGAATTGGTGTATATCTTGGTGAATGTCTATTTTGAGTTGATTGAATGGATATAACCTACTAGCATATGTTGTTTCTGTTTCCTTGTTTTTGAAGACTGAAATTGAATTTCCTTCATTTCTACTTTTTTCCATTTAAATCTTTATTATTTGTTGGTAACTTGTTAAAAGCTGGCATTAAGGTTTTAAGTTACTTTTAGTTTTTGCTATTTTTTTCTTAGCTTGCTGGTAGTGTATTGTGTCTCTATAATGTGCACAGAAGTGTATCTTATAGTATTTTAGCCATGAAACTGAAGCTGGGAGCTGAATGTTATGGTTTTTAAATTGTAGCAAATTCATCAGCAAACCAACCTTTGGTGAATGCTCCAGCATGGTCTATACCGACTCAGGCTGCTTCAATAGCAAGAACTGCATCAGAAAACAAGGTGCCTGCTACTACCTTTGTGAAGGTTGAAGGAACATCGGACATAACTGTATCAAGGGCAGGGCCTCAAATAACAACAGACCCGAGCTTTAGACCATTTATAACTCCAACAGCTTCTGTAAATTTGTCTACTGTGCACCAGCCTTTGCAGGCCACGAACATTGTTCAGCCTCCTTTGATTCCCAGTCACACTGATATTGCAAAGGTTGTCCAGAAAGTGTTACAACCAAAGCTTCCCAGCCATCCCACTTGGATTCCTCCATCAAGGGATTATATGAATAAGGCTTTGACATGCCAGATGTGTGAGCTCAGTGTTCAGGAGGTTGATACTGTGCTTCTTTGTGATGCTTGTGAAAAGGGATTTCACTTGAAGTGTCTGCAGCCCTCGGTCTTGAGAGGAATTCATAACAGAGTGGATTGGCACTGTATGAGGTGCTTGAGTTTAAGTGGTGGAAAGCCTTTGCCACCAAAGTATGGTCGTGTCATGAGATCGTCAAGCACACCACCAAAATTGCCCTCTAATATTGGTGGTATTCAAGCTTGTTCTGAGAATAAAGCAGAGAACATAGAACCAAAGGTCCTGCAGATGGTAACAAATGGGAGCACTGTTCCAACGGTTGCCGGTGGCAATCACAATGTTGAGGTGCAATGTTACTCAAAGTTCGCTGATACCAAAGGTATACAAGGGATTGGCATTTCATCCAGCATTGAAGCTATTGATAAGAAGCCTGATCCAAACAACTCTATGAAATCTCTTAGTGCAGCCTCTAGTCCTTCTATTGGGATGCTAGGTGAATGCTCTACCAAACAAATAAATTCTAAGGTTTTGACCAGTAAAGAGACTTCAGAATGTGAGTCTCTTCCTAAATTATCTGAGCCAGCTAAATGTGAAAGTATACAATCATCTCAAAATTTTCAAGTGGAACAGACAATGTCAAAAGACAATGCTGAAGTATCACCAGATAAACACATTGATAGTAATATTATGAATAATAATCAGAAGGACTCTCTTGAAGGGGAAAATTTAACTTATGATATCAAGCGTGATGACAAAGATGCTGCACTTGCAAACATTGTTGGAATTTCTGGACCTAATACTGAAGGTAGACAGAACTCAGCATTATCATCAGATGGTTCACATGCTGTAGAATGGATTGGTGATGTAGTACAACTCGTAGATGAAAAGATTTTTTACCAATCTTGTTGTGTTGATGGAGTAACGTATAGGCTACAGGGTCATGCTCTTATTCCTACCAGCAATGGAAAACTAGCTCCTTCTAAACTCCAGGCAAGCAAATTATCACTATTTCCTTCCATTATATGCCAGCCATCGATTATACCAAACCTGAAGGATTTTACCTGAAAAATTAAGTAGATATGAATACCACAAACATTTTAGTGTACTTCCCTGTTTCTTGTGTTTTGCTTGATTTTGAACCCTTCTGTAAACAAAATAAAATTTTTATAAATATTTAGAACTTTAACAAAGAAGTTTATTCCATTTTTATTTTCAGTCTATGTGGGAAGATTGCAAAACTGGGTTAAAGTGGGTAAAGGTAACAAAGTGCTACTTTCCTGATGATTTGCCAGGGAATATTGGTCATCCGTGTATATCTGAAGTCAATGAGGTACTTTTTTTACACATACCTACTTACATCTTTATATATGAAATTATAATTAGATATTTTTTTCTTAGATCAATATAAATGCATTCATGCCGGTGTTAAGGCTTGTCATTGGTATGTTAAGTATGTTTTTTATATATTTTATCTAAACCTACACTGGCTTTTGCATGCACTTATCGGTTTAAAATTGTAACCTGTAAAGTTAATTAATATTTTGTTTGATATTGCAATCAATGATAATTCTCCACATCCTGGACATTCTTCACCATTCTTAATCATGTATTGTGTGGATATTTTCTTATAGATATGTTTTCTTTGTTGAAGGTTTATGAATCTAATAGTGATAGAACTGAAATGGCTAGCTCTATTCAAGGTCCATGTGAAGTACTCCCGTCTGATAAATTTAAACAAGAAAATGACAGGCGATGCCAGTTAGGAATTGAGGAAAGTACTAGAATACAGCCCATTTTCCTTTGCAGGTTTGTTTCTTTAAAATTCATCCATCATTCTAGAGTGTTTTCATTTCATTTTGTTTTACTATATGCCTGTTCCATTCATATTATACAATTTTCGTATTTGTAAAGTAACCATCAAATATAAAATATGAAGTCAATTTATCATTTTCTTGGTAGAAAATTGTAGAAAACAGGGAAATGAGAAATAGAGGTGATTTAATTATCGTTTAGACTTGCCATAGATGGTGAAAAATTGAAAACTGAAACCCATTTTCATGCTGCTTGTGGACATACCTGAGCATTAAGAATGTGCTGTGTTTTTCTACTATATATTCGTTCCAATTTTTATATAACATAGTTTGACACTATTAATTCTAGTTTATTTCAATTAATGAATTTTTGGCTCATAGAAAAAAACATGAACGCAAATGCTTATTGTTTGGTAATTACTTTTCCTGGGAAAAAAAATGAATGTCAGACAGTATAATTGTTATTGAACCTGGAAGTATATCTTAAACAAGAACTTTCATGCATGCGATGGAGACAAACTACCTTCATTTTCATGGAAAAACCCTTGTGGTCTCATCACATTGAACTACCACAGCTTGTATGCGGTGAGAGTAAAGGCCATAGTAATCAATCTATTGCCAACCCCAAATACACTATAGTGGGATAACACATTGTGGAATGGCCACTATTTCAAATATATTTGTATGCATAAATATAATCTTTACTTATAAATAATTTCTTATATAAAGGTGAAAAGTGCTATAGGGGGAAGGAAACAGTATATCTTACAGCTTTAAACATTCTGAGTGATTAAAAGATGGATGGAAACAGAAGAAGCTTGCCGGAAAACAGTAACAGGAAGTCTAAGACTGACAAAATATTGGGAAGAGAGAACATGTAATTCTGTCGCTAGACATCTCTGGTGGGATGGGCGGGCAAAAGATGGGATGTCTTTAGAAATTCCTGCTGAAGAGGTGGGGGTAGTTTTGTCTACAATTATCATTTCCACCCTGACTCCCCCACCAAAACAGTGGAGGGGCAAAATTAGATTTTTGAAACTCATCATTATTGCTGTGGTTGTGGGAAAAAGCTGTCAATTCGGCTGTCAGCTGTGACACCCCAAAATGCCACTCTATGATGTGGCTGCAGCCCAGCGACCTCTCTGTGGTACTGTTGCACTCTATTAATTACTTTGGTAACAGGTGGAGTGTGGACAAGACAGAAGAGCAGCCTGCTCTGTACTTAAAGTCGCTGGAGAAGTGGTCGTCTCTTCTCTGGTGAGAGGTGAGTAGGCAAGAGAAAAGGATGTCTTGGGAGAAGAGAGTGGAGGAGGGTATTGGCGACAATGCTGCTGAATTCGGGGGTGGACAGGGTAGTCTTATGTAATGTCTTTTTCAACCAAAATACCCCCTCTCTCTAATCGACGCTAGTGCTGGGGAAAAATTGGATTTTTGAAACCCATTCCAATCATGCTGTTATTGGGTGTGAAAAGCTTGCAATTTGGCCGTGACCCCAAAAGTGCCATGCAGTGATGTTGCTAGTGTTATCAATTGTGGAAAAGTAATCCACCATTTCATGTGTTTCCAAATTGTGGAAGTAACCTGTGGTTGAAAGATATGATATATGTATGTATGAAAAATCAAATTGTATTCAAATGGAAATGAAATGCGTTAATATTAACTCAAAAGTTCAATTGGTTGGAGATTTGCCAAAGATGACAAGAAGATGCTGCAGCCATGACTAGCAGCTGCATTTGTGTATGGAATTAAGATCATGGATCCAAGGAATTTTTCAATAGCACTATTGTGCCACTATACTGTTATTTAGAGATACTGGATGTCACTGTAGTGCCCCGTGGCTGCTCTCTGTTGCCATTGGACATTATTAATTGCCTTGGTAACAGCCACTTTTGATAACAATAGCCTTACCTACTCATCTTGAATACCCATTACAAGGCCGTATTTGGCATATAGGCTAACTTTTATTTGGCATTCAATTAATCCATGTTTTACCAAATATTATTATGTGGATATGTTCACCTATTTAGGATTAAAATTCTAATTCGAAGTTCGGATGAAATTTATTCATTAGTTTGGAAGGAAAATGAATGCTGTTCTATTTGCATTTCTGGTCCTTTTTTATTGCATGGTGTATGTGTTTTAGATGCTTGACTTCTGGTTTTGAATTCAAATTTTAAACGTTGGGACTAGCAGTGAAACTATTATACTGTCCTCATATATCGGGCTTGTTAATCAATCTGGACAAAATCTGAATAAAATCAGTGTTGAGATTTTTGCCTTGTAGATTTTTTTTTTCTGTTTTTTTTTTTGTTTTGAGGTGTCTTAAGTGATTTGGCTTGTTTCGCAGGTGGTTTTATGATGAATTCAAAAAGTTATTTCAACCTGTAATCAGTTGATAATGTCATGAACATATATGTTCCATGATTCGTACACTGCAATTTTGTGGTGAGTATTTGATCCATTATCTGTCCAAATTGTTGGCTTAAACTTTGTTTGTTCTAATGTATATTTATTTGCCTTTAAAATAAATCAGGTGCCATTTTAAAATCTTAGGACCCTTGGATATTGGGGGTTATATTCCTGAATTCAGGTTGAATTCACTTCTTGAGCTTGGTCTTGCATACCTATAGTTTCTCCCATTTAAAAAATAATGCTGAAAAAATTCATAGAATCTAAATTGGTTAATGTAATTAATTGATGGAACAACAAAAAAGGGGAATTTATTGGAAATTTGGGATAACAACCGTAATAAGCAAATAGGATTTTCGAGTAGTTTCAAACTGAAATTAGCCAATATTAATGGTAGTAGAATGTGTTAGAAGGTGTAAATTAGAAAGTGTGTTGGTGATACCCTTCCATGAAGAGAACCAGATTAATTTTCAATGCGAATTGGCTTTGGTAAAATAATCTATCGGTCATTGATTTCTTGTTCGCTTTTATTAAAATCCCACAAGGTTTACTTTTCATAATGTATGTTCGGTAGTAAGAAGAATGTAACATACTTATTAGCACATTTGGTCTTTCTTTTGTAATCAGAATTTAAATTTGGTCTTTCTATTGTCATCAGAATTTAAATTTGGTCTTCCCATTTTTTTATCCAATTTTATTTCCACTATTTTAATTGGGCTAATTAAATTGGCATCTAATATTTGATAAAAAAATGTCAGTATGGATAAGCTGACATGACATTTTACGATACTGTCACATTAATATTTATGTTTAATATTGGACGTTATCTTAATGAATGAGCAAAATATTATGCAATCATCATGCTTTACTTACCTTCCCGTTGAGTCAAATTAGATTTATTTGCAATCAAACCGTACTTTTTAAATACACTATTATTGGTTAAAATTTATTACGTCTTGTGAAATGTAGGTTCTACTTGGGAGCTTTAATAATTTCAACAAAGATAATGTCTTATTATTGCACTCCCTTGATTCTCTCCGTCCCAGTTCCCGTGATGATCTTTGACAATGTGCTTTTCATTGGATGCAGGCAGGTGTTTTGGGGGTTTTGGAACGGGGTTTTTCTTGTATTGGTGGGTAATTGAGCATGCATTAATGTTCGTGTGAGACCCATTATAAGGCGCATTGCAGCAACTTGCCTCGTCGTACTAGAATGTTCTACCATCTCTGCATGAATTGCATTTGATGTAAAATATGTAGCTGAAGGAAGCTGTGTGGACTGCTTAGTTTTTTTAGATTTCGCTTTTATAGTTTTTTTCCCGATAGATATTCATTCTGTATAATTCTTTTTCGGGCATTAGGCTCTTTAGGCCCAATAATCACATTATCATCTTTGAATTAGATCAGTGTAGTTTCCTTAGCATGCTGAATTGTAAGATACTTCATCTGTACAAAAGCCATTTCTTCTAAAATGCATAACCATTGGATATCACGTTGGCGACGAGTGATGATTTTTCTAGCTATCGCCAAGGCGTTCATTCAGGTTCTGCCGGCTGAGCATAGTATTTTGTCATGAGTTTGTGATATGTTTTATTTCATTAGTTGGAACTGTTGTTTTAGTAAAGTAAGTTAAAATCATTCACTTAAAAAGTAGATGATATTTCTTAATTCACTTCATTTATACTGTTTGGTTCCCTTGCTGGGAATCTCTTCCGCTTGGCAAAAGAGGAGAGGCAAGATATCACCTTTATTCCAGATCATGTTCCATCTTTTTTTCCATTAATGGAGAAAGAGAGATGTGCACAGTAAAATAATGTCTTTGACCTTCCATGAAGGGTACAAATTAAGTACTTCTACTCTTCTAACAGATCTAATAGTACTAGTAAGTGGGGAAAGGGAGAGGAGTGTCACAAAAGGAAAGGATGATACAAATAACTAATTGAATTTAGTATTATTCAAACAATTTTTACCTGTAAATGTAATAACTCAAATAACTCAACCCAACTCGCATAATTTCTCCTTCTCAAAATTATGTTAGTCAGCTCTCTATCCAGCTGATGAACTAACTAGGACCAACAAATATCCTAATAAATAAATACTTCTATTAATAACTACTTAAAAAAATATTTTAATATTTTTTATATTTTCTGCATAATCAATAATTTCTATATTTCGATATTGGTTCCACTTCCTATAATAAGAAGTACCAAAAAGGCATCAAAGGGGGAGTTTCTCAATAAAATTTCACATAATATTACAATGTATATAAAAATATCGTGTTTATCTCCAACTCCATAAATGTTGATCAGTTTTAGTAGGGTTTCAGATTTTAATTATGAAGAGAAAAATATATGACATTAACTTTAAAGTATATTCATATTGATAAACTAAAAAGATGAGTTAGTTGGGATTATTTTATGAATCCGTGTAACTAGCATTACCCAGTGAATTAAGTTTGTTTGTAAAGACAAATAATTAATGCCTTCAAGTCGAATGAAAATCGTTGAATTCGAGGCACTATGTGTTGCTATGCAAAGTATCAAGAACTTGAAAGTTTAAATTATAACTTGTTTCATATGATGAACTTGATGAGTATACACCGTCATGTCATGTGAATAGCCTATGCAATTTTATATACTCGATAGGCATGTGGATGCTTACCTCAAATTCTGGCACCATACTACTTATTCTTTCTTCACAGTTTGAACTCACTTAATTGGTGTGAAAAACCACGTAACGTAATTCAAGATTATTAACTTCTACTTTGTTAGCCAATCAGCACTTGCTAGAAAAATGAACGCAATGAATGTTGATATACAAGAAACAGGCAAAGCCAACATATACTACCTAATAAAATGTCCTTTTCTGAAAACAAAAACATATTTTATGTTCTTCTTTGTCGTCACAAACCGCTCTATGGTGCATTTTGCCTGAAAAGTGTGATACCAGTAACTGCCATTCTTCAATAATTCTGGGGTCCTTGTTCCTTTCTAGAGTTACACAAAAAATATATTTTAGATCACTGTTCCTTTAGAATTTCCACATGCATCATGTTGCTTCATTCTTTTAGAAAATATGGCAAAGCTAGATACCTATATGGCTATATTGGGAATGGGAAAAAGAAATTTGATTTTTACATCAAAATTTTATTACATATATTAATTATTGTTCTTATACTTTATCGCTCATTGGATTTTTCAGAATGTGTGTTTTTTTTACCTAACATGTTCTCTTTTTCTCTTTTGTAGTGTGGTAGTAGACCAAACTATAAAATGATGAAATTCATAGTGGACAAAAAGAAGCCAGAAGATTCTGTTCATAGTTTTTGATCAAGCTGTTGTTGTGGTTAATTAACAACAGTAGTTTTGAACATAAACACAAAGATATTACAAGAACCACAAGCTTAACCTAGAATTATAACCACAGATGTTTTTTACAGCAAAAAGAAGTTATTTTATAACAGTATATTTAATAGGTATAATTAACTTATTCAACCACATTCTTCTTTTATAGTTAAGCATTTTTATTCTACTTTATTATAAGGGTCACACAAGAAAAACTGTATATGCAGAGAAGGTGTTGCAGAATAATATATATATGCAAAAGGGAAATAACTACCAACTTTGACCATCCCACCATGTCTTTGACATCTCTCTTAGGGCTAAAAGTCTCCCTTCTCCTTTCTTCAATGACCTTATTTAGTAACTAAAGGTAGCCTCTACAAGCTCATAATTATTTTCGTTTCTTAAAAAATGGCTTATCATGATAATTCCTGACCCACTAGTCTAAATAGTTCATTCAAAGTATGAACACCAAAAAGGTTAATTATAAACTTAGATCTTATATATTTTCTGCTTTAACATACACACCAAAAAACTTATCTCTGTTTGAAAGTTTATTAAAAATCTTACCGTTTTATAAGCACAGAAACAAATGAAAATGTATTTCTTATGCAGACAATAAAATGAAAAAAATGGGTCAGTTCATAATGTCTTTTTAACATACCATCAAGTGTAATTTTTCTGTCATGAGAATCAGAAGTGTTAGATTTACCTAAACTGCATTTTTAAATTTATCCAAATGAGAACAAGCCAATAATTTTTAAGCCATTGAGCAAGACCAACGTTTTGAGAGAGTAAAATCCTATTGAACATGCATTGGAAGATTTGGTAAAACCAACACACACTTACAATATTCTTATAATAACAGTTAAAATATGCAGAATAATCAAATGCTAAAAAACCAGTATAAAATGTGCTCTGTGAGCATTATTTACAAATTGCAAGAAGAAAAAGTGGTTTGGTATTATTTCAAGTAAATGGCGTCTATCACGGTGGTTTGAACTTTAAGAAGGAGCTAAAAAGGAAGAGGGGGCCATTAGAACAAAGTCAGATCACAAAGATTCCAAGTTTATGGATTCAGAATAGAGCCTTAAAAATTCTGATATATATACCTTTTTTCACCACCTTTTGGGCGTGTTATGCAGGACTATATGCATATACATACATATACATATATATGGATATGTATATTTGTATGACTTATGCATGTGTATGTGTAAAAAGAGAGTGAAAATCTTCAGATTTGGAGTGTGGAACTTTGATTCTATCTTTTCTTAAATGATCTTAAGAAGCTAAGGCTATAAATATGTATAATATGATAGGTTTGTGTAACCCTACAAAACTGTTAACAGAAAAACAAGTATTGCGACCAATAAACTGATGCACTTAGTTAATTAATTACAATTTGGTAGGGAAAATTTAAAAGTGAGATTGCGTAATTTTACATGCACATGCACTCCTAGGATCTTCAACCTATATGAGAAAATAAGTCTCAAAGCCTAGTCCTATATATCTATATATAGTTCAATAATTAATGAAATTACGAAAAAGTTTTTTTACTTTTATTCTTTACGTTTCCTTTCATTATTGAT